ACAGTTATCAATGTTGGATCAGTCACATATGAAGCAGTCGGACGGACACTCCTCGGCCTTCTATCCATCCACTTCTCAACACCATTCAAATATCAAATTAATCACGCAAGAAGCGACTGGACGAACACTCCTTGGCTCTCTATCCAGCCACTTCCCAATACCAAACATAACATCAAGTTACAACACAAGAAGCGATTGGACGAACACTCCTTGGCCCTCTATCCAACCACTTCTCAATACCAATCAGATATCATTGTTAGATCAGTCACACATGAAGCAGCCAGACGGATACTCCTTGGCCCTCTATCCAGCCACTTCCCAATACCAATGAGATATCAAGTTAATCACACAAGAAGCGATTGGACGAACACTCCTTGGTCCTCTATCCAGTCACTTCTCAATACCATACACTTATCAATGTTAGATCAATCACACATAACGCAGCCGGACGGACACTCCTCGACCCTCTATCCAACCACTTCTCAACACCATTCAGATATCAAGTTAATCACACAAGAAGCGACTCGACGGACACTCCTTGGCCCTCTATCTAGTCACTTCTCAACGCCATAAAGTTATCAATGTGAAATCAATTACACATAAAGCAACTGGACAGAAACTCCTCGGCCCTCTATCCAACCACTTCTCAACACCATTCAGATGTCAAGTTAATCACATGAGAAGCGACTGGACGGTTACTCCTTGGCCCTCTATCCAACCACTTCCCAATACCAAACAGAAAATCAAGTTATAACATACGAAGTGACTGGACGGACACTCCTTGACCGTTTATCCAGCCACTTTTCAATACCAAAGAGAACATCAAGTTACAACACACAAAGGGACTGGATGGACACTCATTGACCCTCTATCCAGTCACTCATCAATACCAAATAGTTTATCAAAACGATTCACTTTACGTAACACAATCCCATGTAAACTTCATCATCCTTAGCAGAAGCTTGTCAACTCTTTGTTCTCAAGTTCCTTGGGTTATACCTGCCCCTTTTTTTTCTCATACACACTCATCTTACTCCCACATTATCTCTTCCTTCCTTTTAGATCCTTTAATCCCGAGAGATTCATACACGATGTACACCCACATGTGCATGCAGAGAGATACTGAGATGCAACTGCAGAAGTTTATGGAGTAGAAGGAAATGAAACACGTTCCTTCAAGTTCCCTGCCTCCAGAGATACGCCTCAACTCCGGCAGAGCTCCTGCAATCGCCCTGTTGTTAGCATATATGATTTCCTCAGTTTCGACCGGCCATCAAGGACAAGTATAACTTTCAGACAATATAATCCAGTTGTAGTGACTTTTTCTAATTGAATGGCCTAAGTAAAACATGCATTGGACTCATTGATCCTCAACAATCTGATTGGAGAGAGCATTACCAATGGAATGAACCCTCCTCAATCGAATTTGGACTATTGTTACCCATAATAGTGGATAGTTCAAGTACCCATCATGGATCAAATGCTTCGAATAGGCTAAAGAAATATGCGGCAATGACTAGTTTGAATCACACTTTACATACATACTTAAAAGAAGCTTATTCGAAGATTCATACTGGGATTAGATGATGCAAATACCTTTTTAGTGCAACTTACGACCTTTCGTTAAGTGATTCATCTTATGCAAACCTCAAGCTCAAGATCACACAGTTCATAACGGTGTACCTACCAATAGTCTTTCCCTTCTTAATGCGTTCTCCTTCCTCATTCCGACGTGAAGTGCCGAAGTCACCTCGTCTTACATCATTTTCATAGTGCCTTTATTTACTCGCGCTCAAACAGGTGGCGCTGCCTCAACACTGCAGCGGCTAAGCGTGGGACTTGGTTTGGCTTGACTCGACTTGGACTGTTTCTGACTGGTACCGTCCGGCCACGGCTTGTTTGCTGCAAATCTGGTATCTTTTCCGGGCCTTCCCGACTCTCTGCCGTAATACCATAGACTTAGACCTGTCGGGCCAGATTGACTTTTTTTTTTCTGGACACCCAAAACTTTTTCCCTGATTTATGATGCTATGGTACCGGTCCAACTGGTTCTCATCCTTCTGGTTTTTTGAACCCTTCGTCCTTCTTGAGGCGTGAATATATTTTCCTTCTGCTACTCCAAGTGTCGCAGGCCTATTTCCCCGTTATTTTGGGTGTTCCTCTCTCTGGCCTGCTTGTCGCGGGCCTAATCCCGCTACTTTATAGTCTTTCCCACTGCTTCCTCCAAACTCACGGCCGTAGGTGCGTACCCGTACAGCGGCATGCCGGTGGCACACACCCTCAGGCCGTCGTGCGTTCAGATAGGCACGCGGACACCAGCTATACGCTGTCCCACAGACTTAAAACATTTGTCGAATAGCGGGTACCTCAACGAGGCATCTATTCCAGTAACAACTCAGATACCAGTCACTTTCTCAGTCTGTATCTTAACAGGTCACTTTAGGGATAATCTGTTGCTGTTAGTGATCGTAATCATCAATAATCGGTAGCAACAGCAACTTGCTTGGCTGTTGTAAATAGTATGGTTGCTAGGTCTTGAGCCGTAGTTCCGAGTTCCAGACATCTTAGCAGTGGTCCAAGTAATAATCGCTATAGGGTGGATGGGTCAAGACTCACAGTCTTCCGGAACTTCCGAAAGAGACTGTTTGTAGGTCCTAGAGTCAGCCCACTTCCGAGTCAGCAGAGGACATTCCTAGTCTTGTTTGCCTTAGGCATTTCTTCGATTCTACCAACCCAGTCAGCAGTTCTCAATCCCAAGGTGCACTTTGTCTTGTCAGCAAGTACCATGCGGGACTGAGCACTCCCCGGGCACAGGGTCAAAGGGCAGACCTTTGATGATCCGAAGTATAAATAAAGAGGCAGTGTCAAGTCATTCATTCATTTTGTCCGTGAGCCGCATTGATGCGCTGTCTGTGTATCCTGCGTATGGAGGTCTGCAGCTACCCGAGGCTCAAGCGGCTAAAAGGAGGAAGATGTTGCCTTAGCCGCTTGTGTTAGTGATAGGCAGTAGACGGTAGTCATGGCTGTTAGTTAGCTTAGTTATAGTGCGTGTGTGTATGTATGAGTGTGTCGTGTTTGAGTGTGCGTGACGTCCAGGGAGATCCAGAGTTGTGTGTGTGCGAACAAGTCCCTGGTCATAGTCGATTGAATAATTTTGAATTTGGACTGTATCCTTGGCTTCGTTATCCCAGAGTGTTGTGTGAGCGCAAGTCGCCAGCTTCTTCGTTGTCTTTTGGCATGCATGCTGGATGTCAAAGAAAGCAAGTCTAATTAAAAAAAAAAAAAAAAAAAAAAAAAATAATAATAATAATAATAATAATTATTATTATTATTATAATAATAACAATAGTAATATAATAATAATAATAAAAATGACAGATATAAGGAAAATCAATGTGTACAAGCTATCTCCTCGGTCTGACACAGCCAAATCGAGAGTGCATCGTGCTCGGGGAATGGTCTCCCAACTGCAGCAACGACGACCAATGGGCGACCAGGTAAAGTTTCTCTCTCTCTCTCTCTCTCTCTCTCTCTCTCTCTCTCTCTCTCTCTCTCTCTCTCTCTCTCTCTCTCTCTCTCYCYYTCTGTTTGTGTTGTTTGCCTGTGTCTGACTCTTTATTTGGTTGTCAATGTCTGCCTTCGTCTATCAGTGTTTGTGAACGCAGCTGTGTTTGAGCTGGCAATGTCGTGCCCTCCTGGCATTGTGAGGCAGAGGTAGAGCCAACCATCGATGGTTCACCATCGTCAGATCGATCTGGCTTTCATTTCACTTCTTCAAGTTGCAGTCCATGGGCCTGCTGCTCCCGTCATAGCCGAGATCATAGTGTACTCTCGGTGCTCCCTCTCATTCCTGTGCGAGTTCTTCTTCACTGAATTTGTGCTCACCGAGTCGGAAAAACGGACATAAGTAGGATGGGGGCGAAGGCTGCAGAAGGAAGAGTAAGCCAGTGTCTCCATCCCGAGGATCTACTGTTCACGCAGCAATGATCCTTCTGCAGGTTCACCTATGGAAACCTGGTTGCGACATCTCCTTAGATAATAAGGTTTAACGGACTTCTTACAACACTCGGCAAATCTCTAAGATCACCCTGATCAGACTCTCCACCGGGTCATTCAATCGGCAGGAACGCCTGGTGGTGTGTACCAAGGCAGGGACGTAATCGATATGAGCCAATGGCTCATCTGTGGGGAATATGAGTGAGAACAAAATACAGAAAGCCAAGTTGCGAAATCACATAGATGTCCAAGTAGTCGCGCACAAGCAGAGAGCATAAATTTACCAAGAACTCATGAGCCCGTGTTCAAGTCCTCAGGCCACACTAACACAGTATCCAATGTCGCTCCTCTCTTTCTGGCCCCCCACTGCCTAGCCTATATTATTTGTCTATCCTATCACATCTAAGTTCACGCAACAGGCTGACTTTGACTCTGAATACCAATGTACTTGACATCGACACCATAACAGACCCTCTTCATGCATCAGGTACGTATCTCGTCTCCTCTTTTTCTCTCTCTTTCTGTGTTGCCGTTGTCACCTGTCAATAGAGTCTGAGCTAGGCGAATCCCGCGAGACAATAGATAATAACCTTCGTGACCCACATCCTAACCGCAGTGGATCCACAATGCAGCACGGTCCATCACGTTGTGCAGCAGGCCGAGACCACATAATGGGCCACGACAGGCACAATCGCACATTTCAACAAGTCTGGATCGCGTTCTCCAATCTCGTTCATTCTGACTCATCACTGCAATTGTGCCTTGCCAGCATGCTTGCTTGCTTGCCTTGCTTGTGCATAAGCTTGCATATGCCTCCTATCTTGGCTTTGTCCCGGGTCGCTTTTCTGCAGATCTTTACAGTCGAACGCGCTTGCTCTTTGCCTCGCCCCTGCTCAGGCACGACCAAGTGCCTACCTCCTATTTCCTTGCGATCTTTCCAAAATCACGTCCTCGTTCAAACACTAAATCTCATTCTTCCCATGAGCGGGACTTGTAGAGCCACCCATGTGTTGCGAGATTTGTTATGGAGGAGATATGAGTCTGACGTTTTCTCTCAAGGCGGGTTCATTGCGTTTCTTCTAACCTCCTACCCGTGTGTAAAGGAATGGACTCTAGGTATAGGATAAAAGGAACAACAAATCTAAGAGCAAAAAGAAAATAAAAATAATAAAAATCTTGTGGAATCTAGCCCCGGTGTTCTGTCAGCGGGAAGCCTTAACTCGTTATCTTTTCAACCGTTCTTCAGCTCGGGATCGCGGGATCAAATCCCGCCTATTGCATCGAGTTGACACTAATTGTTAGCTCCTCCTCCTTCGTCCAATTATTCCTCTTCTTCTTCTTCTTCTTCTTCTTCTTCTTCTTCTTTTTCTTCTTCTCCTTCCTCCTCCTCTTCTTCTTCTTCTTCTTCTTCTTCTTCTTCTTCTTCTTCTTCTCCATCTTCCTCCTCCTCCTCCTCCTCCTCCTCTTCTTCTTCTTCTTCTTCTTCTTCTTCTTCTTCTTCTTCTTCTTCTTCTTCTCCATCTTCCTCCTCCTCCTCCTCTTCTTCTTCTTCTTCTTCTTCTCCTACTCCTACTCCTACTCCTCTCTTTCACTGCCTCCACCTGTCCTCTACTGCCTTAGCATCCTCCATCCTCTTTCTCCTTCCCTCGCCTTTTTGCACTTGTCGACAAAATGCACAGCACAGTAAATGCTCTTTTTACATAGGGGATTCTGCCCCTTTCCATCCTGACACACTTGAGAAACAAGACATTCTCCGCACCCCAACCCTCTGCCGCTCGCCAGCTTCCCGGTCATTTGGCCCGTTGCATTTGAGAATGGCGATATAAACCGCTGCTGCTTCTGAAGCATCCCAAATGTCGTGGTGGCATATGTGCGGGCCTCGGGCTGGTTGCAGGCCCTCCCCTACCGCCCCTTGCATTTCAGGGATATAAACTGCTGCTGCTTCTGAAGCGTCCCACATGTCGTGGTGGTATATGTGCAGGCTTCGGGCTGGTTGCAGGCTGGTTCAGCAGAGGGGAGGGGGGTCGGGCGGGGGCAGGGGCGGGGGGGCGGGGCAGGCAATGACCGCACTTTGGCAATTTGTCATGCGAAAATAACATTTGATGAAAATTCTGAAAAAAAGTAGGCACGCAGACTAGATGACAATATTTCCAGGAAAACTATTAGACAAACAGAAAACATGAAAAAAGGTCTGAATGATGCATACAGAGTTTTGCTTCCCACTGACCCCGGTAGGCCCAGGCTCGAGAGAAAATCAATAGGCTTGTTCAAATAGCTTGAGGGCCAGTGGTGGTTTACCATGAGATACCAAGTTGGTAGGGGGGGGGGGTGCTTCAGGTCCCTGATTGATGTTGCTTACCCATGTTCATGAACTCGCGAGAGAGGTCTGCAGAAGCTGGGGAAGGCAAATATGCTGTTCCTGCCATCTCTGCGGCGCTGGCAGTCTCCCAATTGACGACCCAGATCCGGAGTTCGACACTGAGGCAATCATGTGTGCACAGTAGGTATACAAACAAATATGCACGCATATCATATATGTACATGAAATGTGGCATACAGAATACGCAGGAGGATCCATCAGTGACAAAGAAAGAGTCGTCAAGCTCCCGCAGTGTTGGAGATTTCAAGGTTTCCAATGAGAACCGCAACGAAGGGAAAGAAGGAAAAGGAATAAAGAAAAGATGTGTCTGCGTTCCATTGCACAAGTGATTATTAGCCAGATCATTAAGGGCTGTCAACATGAAGAACAGGGGGAGACGGGGAAGAGGCAGGGAAAAGAACGGGAGAGGGGGGAGAGGGGAGGGGGGATGAGAAGGGGGTAGAAGGTGGGGGTTGAAAAATTTGGGGTTGGCTGGTTGGGGCGGGTGGTCAAAGGAAAAGAAGTTTGAGGCTGTTCACACTGAGGCTGCGCTTTGCATGGTACATGCCTCCGCCTGTTTTTTTTCTTTTTTCTTTTTGTAAATGCTATGAACCGCACAGTTCATCACCAGAGAGTGTACACATAGACATGCATCAAACACAAATGAGATGACACGAATTCCACACTGGATGCCAGAAAGTCGAAGACCAGATAACGCAGCTTTTGAATTCCAACAAATTATCACAAGAGCAATAAGAGTTCAAGTCACCAGTGCTCATCAGCGCATACAAAGGTAACCAGTAGTCAGTGATAACTCTCAGGTGGGTATCTCTTTCCCGTTCTTCTTCTCTCTCCCTCTCTTACTGGTGTTCTTTCTAGCTATGTCCTCACGGTGTCCACTCTCCCTACATGCATGCACACTCACTACGGTTACGCAAGGATCTACTCTGGATACACCCACTGCTATGCCTACTATCTGCCACAAACTAGTACTAACACTCTGCACTGGCGCAGCTATGGCTGCCTTCTTCCTTCCAGCGCTAACTCTCTCTCTCTCTCCCTCTCTCTCTCTCTCTCTCTCTCTCTCTCTCTCTCTCTCTCTCTCTCTTAGCGCAGCACTCTGGCTCAGCGCTCTGCCCTTCCCAATAGTGCACAAGTGCACCAGCACTTCCACACTTCATGCGAATGAGCATTCTGCCCGAATGAGAGGCTGGCAAGTCCTAATATAGCCTTCGATCTTTATTTTGGCTGTCCTAGCCTCTGCTACAAATGGTTCACCTCGGCCTGGTACCACATGCCCAGGGCCTGTCTGCTTCCGAATATCAGGGCCTGGTACTTTCCCGATTTTCCAATGGTGTGCTGCTGCCTGGGCCTGAGCGTCACGACTTTTCACTTGTGAACATGACTTTTGACTGTACTTGTGAACATGACTTTTGACTGTGGACTGTGACTCCTGCCTCTGGGACACGACTCTTACCTGGGAAAGTGTCCTTTGCATGTGGAATGTGACTTTTCAGTATGACTGTTTAGTTTGAGACGTGATTTTCACCCCTGGGATGTGACTGTTCATCGGGTGCCAGTTGGATTTGACCTCTAAGGTACCCGATTGCGACTTCTCTAAAATTGACCGACTTAGCCTCTCTGGAACTGAAACCTTGACCCTGTATTTTGAGTTTGGGGTCTGAATCGTCGAAGGCCTTTCATTCTCGCCGGCCTAATTTCGAGGTCCATCTGTCAATTATATTAATTCCTTCTCTAGCTCTTTCATAATAAGACACAATATGCAGTGCTGTTTCAATCAGTCCGTCTCTTGTAAACCAGCGATCCTTAGATGGTTCCTGATATGCAAATCTAACCTTATATTGTCGCTGTGGTCTACCCTTGCGCCCAGATCTGTAAACATCGTCCCCAACAATTCTGTCTATGTCATATTTCCCATTCATGTGAGGGGGAATCATCGATCTACGAGTAGGAAATAGCTCATTAGTAAAGCAAGGTAGAAGCTTGGAAGCATGAAACACCGGATAAGTGTGCAAATGTGGAGGAATCTCAACAACATAGGAAGGACCATCCACATCACCAATCACATCTAAGATCTGCCACGGTCCTCTATAGGCAGGCAATAGTTTCTGGGAGATGTTCTCCTCAGGGAGTAATTCCTTTGACCTTACCCAGACTAAATCTCCCACAACAAACTGCGAGGGTCTACGATGCTTATTCGCTTGCTCGATCATCTGATGCTGCGGTTTAACTACATTCTCCTTGACTTTTTCAGTATCTTTCTGATACTGCACAGCAAATTCCCTAGTTCCCGGTGGAAGCCTCTGTATTCGATCAGGATTTAGAGAGTCTATGGGTCTACGAGGGCGCCATCCCAAATGCAATTCGGTGGGTGTTCTGGAAGTAGACAGATGTACAGAATTGTTAAGGGCACTAGCAACTTTTGGCAGCTCATCCCAGTCCATCTGATCTGGTCGGATGTACATTCGCAGTGTCTGCTACAACAACTTGTTCATCTGCTCGGTCTGTCCGTTACTCTCAGGATGTCTGCCTGAGGACATAGTCAACTTGGATCCATAGACTCTCATGAGTTGCTGCCGTTGTTCACCTGTGAACCGAGTACTTATGTCACTAACAATGGTTAAGGGATGCCTGAAATCCTTTACCCAATGATTAAAGAATTCTCGAATTACCAAATCCGTTCTGGCTTCAGCAGGAAGTGGAGCAAAAACAACAAATTTACTAAATCGTTCTACCACAACCATAACCTGACTCTTACCATTTCTGCTTTTGATCTTAGCGTCCATAAAATCTATAGACACGGAATCCCCGGGTCCTAACCGTATACGCAGCAGTTTGACCAATCCAAGGGGAGGTTGTGTGGAACTCTTGTTCCTTTGACATACCTGACAGCCTTGCACATCGGAAATGCAGTCATGCTTCACTCCCGGCCACGTCTAGGAGTACGAGGTTTGCATAAGTCTTTCTCCATCCGAGGTGCCCCGGTGTCATGGTTTTCCCCAAGTAAAATGCTGCGAACTTCTTCGCTGTCCGTGACGCATAACCGATCATGGACGTCTGTTTTCTCAAACAGCGATCCCTACGCTACCCTATAGTCCGGGACTTCGTGTGGTGCAGTCTGCACCTTGCCAATCAGCTGGCTATAGACTGGATCACTTGCATATGCATACTTAATTTTCTCTTGCAGTTCGGTGCTTGCATTTATATGCGTCACAATGGCACCGAAAAAGTCTGATCTCCGACTTAGAGCATCGACGACTACGTTATACTTCCCCTCGGCTGGATTCAACTCGAAGTAAAATTGATCAATCTCAGCCGCCCACCTAGTCAGTTTAGGTGTCATACGGGCCTGCGTCTTAAGCCAGTGAAGTGTCTCATGATCAGAGTACACCTTAAAGTGGCGTCCTAGTAGATAGTGTCGCCAATGACTCAGAGCTTCATGGAGAGCAAACAACTCTCTTTCGTAAGTGGAAGCAGTGACTTTCTCACTAGGCAGTCGACAGGACGTATATTCTACTGGCCTGTACCCCTTGCCATCATCTTACTAGAGTACAGTCCATATGCCATATTGACTGGCGTCAGTTGTCAATACGAAAGGCAAAGATGGATCTGCAACTTTTAACACCGGATAGTTAATCAAGCGTCTTCCGATTTAATCCCATCACCATCAACCACATGCCCAAGGTACAAAACCTGACGCTTCGCCCATTCACACTTCTCAGGGTTAATCTTAAAGTTGCTTTCTCGCAACTTACTTAGCACAAGTCGAAAATGCTCATTGTATTCACTCAAACTCTTACTAAAAGTCAGAATACCATCCAAGTAGACAACGACAAATTTATCAAGCCAATCACGAAACAAGTCATTCATACATCGTTGGAAAGTTGCATGCGCGCTAGTTAGACCAAACGGCATTACGACAAACTCGTAGTGTTCGTACCTAGTCCGGAAAACCGTCTTATGCTGGTCTTCTGGCGCTACCTCAATCTGATGGTAGCCAAACCTGAAGTTGATTTCCGAGTACTTGCAACCTTGCACCCTATCAAAACAGGTCGTTTATCCTAGGCAATGGTTCTGCATTTTTCACAGTTATAGCATTGAGTCCCCTGTAGTCTATGCACATGCGCAGTTTGCCGCCCTTCTTTGGCACAAACAGTACCGGGGCACCGAACGGTGAAGAACTTGGTCTAATCCACCCCTTCTCT